GCTTCAATCCATATTGAAAACTACAGTCCTTGACCTTTTGCAGCAAGTGCTTCAGGTCTTCTTCAGTTTCAGCAAGCAAGGTTGTGTCATCTGCATGACATAGTTTGTTGATGAGTCTTCCTCCAATCCTGTTGCCATATTCCTCCTCATAGAGCCCTGCTTCCCAAATGATCTGTTCTTCACATTGATTGAAAAGGTATGGAGACAGGATGCGTCCCTGATGCACTCCTTTCCTGATTTTGAACCATGCAGTGCTTCCCGTTTCCGTGCTCTGTTTTGAGGACAGCATCCTGGTCCAAGTATATCACCATAGAGTTTGTTTTTCCTGAAGTGTGATGCTGTAGAGGTGATTTTATCAATGAGTCAGGCAGGGCTGCTATTTATTGTAAATGTACTCAAAATTGCCTGTTTTGCCCTATCCTGCTTGCTTTCTTTGTGGAAACTCCTTAAGGCTTTTGGTTAAAAAATTGAAAATATAATCTGTGATATAAAACATTTTATGTGTCTTTTGGAAATCCTGTTTCCCTCTTGTGAGTTATATTTAGAATAGACTATCTTCTTGTGCATGTGAAGTAGAAGTCATTAGGATGAGCTGTGCTGTGTGTTAGGCTGCTATCAGAATCCTTTGTGTTTTTCTTTTGTATGTGATTTTTCACAAAGTACTTGGTTTTTCTTTTTAATTGTTAATAGCTAGGGTACATTTTGTAAAGAGATATTTTCAACCTCCAGTCATCCTTAACTTCTACTTGCCTTAAATTTTTAATTTTTTTAGTAATGGAAATTTCAGTGAAAAAGGGAGAATGCATGAAAGATACATAACTCAAGTTGTTTAATATTTATTTTGAATTTTTAAATCCTTTTAAATATATTCTCACATTTTTTTAGTAGATACAGGCTTAGAATTCAGGATTAAATGTTATTAGATCATCTATATGATTTAAATTCCTCTCTGAATAAAACTATTAACTACATATAACTTATTTGGCTATGTAGACAAATGTGAATGTGTGTTTATTTTATCCATACATCTGATCACTGCATTGGGTGGGGGGGAGAGAGACTAGAAATTAGACACATATATGACAAACTCAGGTATCATTTTACTAAATGTGTTTTTTAATTTAAATTATCTAGATTATTTTGTTTGATCAAACACTTTTCTTTCTATTGATAGCATAGCTTTTGGATTAGTTTTACCAGAGTTGTTTTGTTGATTTTTTTTTTCCAGTGGGACTACCAAGGAACTCTAAGGAATGTCTGTGCCTAGGAGTTCTGAGCTTAACCTACAAATTGGCAATAAGAGACTTGTAAAACTCACATATGGGGTCTGCATAGTGTTAATGTTAGAGATTTACTTTTCCCCAAAGATTCATAAACAGTATTGACAAATATATTGCACACTGCAATTTTGACATGGTCATAATGCAAGTTGGGAGGTGTGGAAGGTTTAAATAAACATCTAAATTCAATTTGTTAGGTATATATACTACAGCAAGAAACCTGTTAGTCGCTAGCATGAGTTGGCTTTTATTAAGCCTTTTCCAAAGAATAATCATATGTGTGTCTTTAAAAAACTGAGTGAGTTTTTTTGGCTCTTGCCAAAAAAACCACCAACAGAAAACCCTAAAGTTCTTTCTCCTCTGTCATTTGTGGAGATAATACATTCAAAGAGTCACACCTATTTTCAAGCATTAACATAGACTTTATTTTCCTCGAGTATACAGATTGATTCAGCCACTGGGGCACTGGGGGTGGGTGTGTCGGAGACAAGAAGATTGGCACAGGATAGAGCAGGGTGTATGGCTGTTGTGTACAGAGTCACTCTGAGTCACAGGTGACTCGATGGCTTAAATCAACAACAACAACAACAGACAATCTGTAAATGCTTTCCTGGAACCTATTTAATTTAGAGCTCTTGCCAACTTTGTGAAGTACTTGTTGGTGCCGTTAGCTTTTATTCTCAAAGATTATTGATTTGAGTGAGTCTTTTTTTGGTTTGTTTTTGACAAATGCTTCCTATTCCAGATTTAAACTAATAATTACCCTTGTCATTGTTTTCATTTGTTAAGGAAAGAGTTGTTTAGCATTGACTAGGGCCAAACCTTATAAGGATAGATAAGGTAAGGTTACTTTCTTTATGAAGCTTATTTTTCAGTCAGCAGGTTAATCATCGATACAGATACCTATTAAGTAATAAATTCAGTAATAAGATTGTGTGCAAAGTGCAGTGGGAACACAGTGGAGGGGAAAATAAACTTCTGAATGTGTTACGTAACGTTGTTCCCGATGAAATGAGGCAAATCACAGGAATCATTGTTGAAGACGTGCGTGGGAAGAGAGGAATATGGGAAAACAATTAAGTCCTTAGAACAGTGTCCAATAACAAATATTCTTTAGAGTTAGGACTTTTTAGCAGATAATAAGAACACATCTTTCTGGCTTGAATGCAATTATTCTTGCCTCCCTATTTTTATTTTTTGCTAATGCTACTCTCTCATCATTAGTATTGAGTCAGAACTGACTCATAACTGACCCTCTAGCAGGTGTTCAGAGAATGCAGATTGCACAGGAGGAGATTGCCCATCTTTCTCCCATGGTGCAGCTGGTGGATTTGAACCACCAGAGGGAAGTTGCCTTTGGATTAGCAGTGCGACGCCACTAAGAAACTTTAATTACGTTTAGACATGACTGTTTGCCCCAAAATAGCACGGGATATATTCATGAAATGATGTAATGATGAGGAACATCTCTTAACTATACAGAATTTAGTTTGATTAGGAATTTGCTTATCCAGAAAATTACTGCACATCAAACACGTGTTAGATGAATTGAGCTGAGTATATCAAAGGAGGAATGAAACAGAGATGAACTTACTCTCCTGTTGTCCATGACTAATTATAAATCTATTGCATATAAGAGACTATTATGGGGTTTTTTCCCCTGTTGCTATGTAACCCAGAAATATGTACCTGGACATGTAGCAATACATTGCATTTTACCCGCTGGTAGAACCACCATCCAAAACAGTATTTTAAAAAAGTCAAACTTGCTTGTTCAAGTCCCTAAGAGCTTTGTGCCTTTGGAAGTCAACTATGAATAAATGAACATGTGTCAAGTGAGAGGCATGTTGGTACTCTGTGTGGTTCTTAGCCTATAGCAGGTTGCACTGCAAACCCAGAGGCTTATGTGTCTCTGACACTTCAAACCCACCTGATGCTGTATAAGGTAAAGGTGGGTAGTCTCCTCCCATAAAGATCCCCAGTCTCAGAAACCCAGCAGAGGGCTGCTCTGAGTCGGAACCAGTTCATCTGCAGTGACTTTGAATTTCTGAGTTTTGAATAGTTGTATCTATCCTGTCTCATATTGCTAAAAGCAAAGAATGATGAATTAAGTATAAAACACTGAGTTTATATTCCCAAGCTATGATGAGACAGAGAATGGAATTGTCAGTTCAGTGTTTTATTGTTTTGTGATTATTTATGCAGTTGTTACTTAGCTGAAATTTATTTCTGTTTGACTATTAAAACATCCTATTGGGGATATACTAGAATGTATAGAGGGAGCTCTGGTGATGGCTTAGTGGTAAGGAGTTGACTGCCAACCCAAAGGCAGGAGGTTTAAATCCACCAAGTGTTCCACAGGAGAAAGATGGGCAGTCTCTTCCCATTTGATTTACTTCCTCCCAAAACTCAGTGGAGAATTGGCTACGGATCCTTCCAGTTCAATGGTCCATAACAACAGAATGTATGACGTGCTGGTATTTTGTGATACGGAGAGAGTGTTAGTTTCCTCTGTATAGATAGTTCTTTAATGAGATATTGTGACAGTATGTTAGAGTTCCTGGGCATCGCAGACCAGCCTGTGCTGCAGAACACCCCTGAGGTGCCTCTGGAGAAGTGCCTGGAGAGGTGTTTCTGAAAGAACACCCACAGAATGTTCCATGGGCACTGTTCTCATCAGATACCTGATGGGAAGGAGTCAGTAGCAATTAGAGAAATGGTTTTCAAACAGCCTCAGCTTCACTGGGTAATCAGGGCGGCATTTGTCTTCTCAGACAGGGTCGGGAATGCCATCCACGTTCTCCCTCCAGCGCACACCTACACATCTCTCTTTTCTTAAGTCCCAGAGCAGCTTAGGTGCAGAATCCTTAAGACCGAAGTTTTCAGCCATTGTAAGAGAACAGGAAGTAGAGGAGAAATGGGATTCTATCTAAAAGAAGTCATGGAGGAGAGTGAGGAAGCATCGGAGAATGCTGGGGCTAATAACCACAGCTGGAAACTTCTGGGACCTCATACTAATGCTCTCTTTCACAATGGGTGTTTTCTGGAGAGGTTGGAGCGGGGGAAGGCCTCTTCTGTTTTGACTTCTTGGCTTTTATTGGGTAGTTTTTACTTAAAACAGCCAGATTAAAATATGTTTGATCATTAGGCACTTAAAATTGCATATTGTTCCCTGATCTTCCTGGGTGGAGCAAGTATATAGTTTATTGTGGGAGAAAAGACATATTTCACTATAATTTTCAATTTTATTTTGCCATGTAGGCTGCTAAAAGAATTGAAACCCACCTTTACCCTCTGAATTCCTTGGGAATTAAAGGTTAAAGGAAAAAAAGCTCAGAAACAACTGGGAAATTGTTACATAATTTGTATCAGTGCTATGGATTTGCTGCTTTGAAAAACAAGCCAAAAGTCATATTGCATTTGTAGTAAAGTGGATCAAATATTACAGGAAGAATAGCTTCACTCTTTAACCACTGTGCCCTATTTTGAATTTATCTGTCTCACAGTTAGTCTTACTTTACATGAAAAAACTAGAGCTTAGAGTGTATATAAATATAATATTTGTAATTGAGCATGATTATCATAATAACTGTAGTAATTTTGGGGTGAAATCACAGTAATCATTTAATGCTTGTGGAATCTCTCTTTCAGATATTTTAACATTGTGTTTCTCTTTTTCTCCCTACCTTTCTCTCCTTCCGGCCTGCCTCTTCTCGACAGTCCTGGTACCTGGGCTAGCTTGGTTCCTTTCCAAGTAGCAAATAGGACACCCATTCTACCGGCAAATGTCCAAAATTACGGTTTGAACATAATTGGAGAACCTTTCCTTCAAGCAGAAACGAGCAACTGAGGGAAAAGCGAAATACACCTCAGTTTATGAAACTAAAATAAAGGAAGACTGGACAAAACAAAATAAACAAACAGAAAAAAAAGGGAGAGAGGAAAGAAACTGAAGAAAGAAGATATTAGACCAGCAATTGCAGCACTTACAATCACTAATTCCCTTAAGATTGAAACTGTAATGACATAAAAAAGGGTCGATGATATTTCACTGGTGGGTAGATCACAGGCCTTGCGATGTAGCGTTTGTTACATGAAGTCCGCTGGGAAATAGATGTTCTGTCTCTACGACAATATATTTTAACTGACTTTCTAGATGCCTTAATATTTGCATGATAAGCTAGTTTTATTGGTTTAGTATTCTTGTTGTTTACGCATGGAATTACTATTCCCAACAAAGGTTAGGAGGCCGTGTCAGAGGGGCTGGAAGACAAGGGCCTTGAGCCAGCCATTTTATAAGCACTCTGATTTCTAAAAGTTAAAATATATATAAATATATATATGAAATCTCTGTAGCCTTTAGTTATCAGTACAGATTTATTAAATTTGGCCCTTAACCCAGCCTTTGCCAGTGTGTAACCCAGTTTGAAATCTTACTGAAAAAAAAAAAAGAAAAAAATGGAAAAAAAAGAGAAAAAGAATAGTAAAAAAGGAAAAAAAAACCCAAAAAAAACCCCCCAACCAGTTTGAACACAAAGGCTCTATGGAAGAAATGCCTCTATGAAGGTGAAGTGTTATCTCTGCATGCAACAGTAAAAATTAATATAATATTTTCCCCACAAAAGAAACACTTAACAGAGGCAAGTGCAATTTAAAAATTTTATATCTAAAGGGGAATCATGATTATAAGTCCTTCAGCCCTTGGACTCTAAATTGAGGGGATTTAAAAAAAAAAGAATTTAAAATAATTTTGAGCGAATTTATATTCCCCTCAGTTTTTGAGGGCATTGAAAAGGCATTAAATCAAGACAAATCATGTGCTTGAGGAAAAAAATAAAAAAAAATGAATGAAAACACAGCACTTATGTTGGTTTAGCTGCAGCCTCCTTGGAGGTAAAATTTATTTATTTAAAATTACTGGTTGCATCAAGAACCCATAGGGTGTACAAAAGGTTCTATAAAATCTGCATTCTAGAGACAGAGAGGCAGGCAAATCCATGTCACAAGGGTAAAGCTTACAGTTTACAAACTGGGAATGCCAGGGTGTAGGATATGAAAAACGCACTCTTGAGAAAACAAGTGTCATCGGGTGCTGAAAACTTGCATGGTGCTTTCAGATATTAGCCTTGTTCAACAAATTTCTTGTATTGACAGATCTGTAGTGTGCATGGGCAGACACATTTTTGCCTCTACGATGTCTCTTAAAATTTTAATTAAAAATACTCTTTCCAGTAATCTTAATTTGCACGAAGATATAATGTCCACATTACGTGCCTTGCCTTGAAATCTAAAAAAAGGAAAAAAAAACACAAAAAACACACACAAAAAACCCACAAAAAAGTGACATCACTACACTTGTTTTGCTGCATTTATTATCATTTTAAAATCTTTACCATTTTTATGACAAAAATATTTTGTACTCCAGACAAAGAAAAATATGTGACATCATGGATTTTTTAGACAGTTACACCTTTATCTCCCATTTATAAAGCATATCATGGCTGTGTATAGTTGCCGCTTAAAAATTGTAATCGACCAGCAATATTTTCAGTATTTTGGTGTTTTTTCTATTAACCTTTCATGTTTTTCATCTTCCAATTAATATTTGGGGGGAGGGGTTTCAAATTTATACGAATTATGCAATACCAAGTTTTGCCTATGTAGGTAGTGCTTTTAGCTGTATTGGTTATTATAGGTAAGTACACAGATTTAAAACAAAAATAATGTATGCTTTTTTTGTTTTGTTCTGTTCTGTTTTGTTTGTTTGTTTGTTTGTTTTAATTGACCAAAGTGGGTACTGCTATTTTTGCAGTGTGATGAGGTCCTTTTGTGTACTGAGAGATGGACAGGGGATTTTTTTAGAAATATATATATATTCTGGGGCGGGTGGGAGGATTTGTAACACTTTACAGTATAGCTGTGAAGCAGTGCGCCCGAGAAGGCCTGGGCTGCAAACTGTTCTGTCTACTGTGACAAACTTCAGCTGACACAGGGTCCCCCCTCTCGAACTTCCCACTTGGAGCGCCAGCTGAACTCATCTCTGGCTTCCACAACCACAAGAATCATGAGAACAAGTGAACACAGCAGATTCCCTTGGAGACAGACTTGGCTTCAGAAAATGATTTGCTATTTTCCTGGTGGTGATCGTTTTCCCTGAAAGTTCCACAACCACAGTTGAGAGGGAGCCTGTCTCAGATTTGGCGAGGATGATCATTCATTTGTCCCTACAGTGGGATGCTTTTGTGGCTTGACTACTAGCCTAAAGGTTGGCGGTTCAAACCCACCCAGGGGAAACTTGGAAGACGAGCTTAGTCAGTTAGCTTCCAAAAGGTCACATCCTAGGAAGCAATTCTGCTCTGCACGCAGATGGTCCCCAGGAGTCCCAGTGTGCCCCATGGCTACTAAGACAGCAGATTTTCTTGTACCGAAGACCCCCCCAGTTCGAGGGAGTGCTTTCCACATTCTTTCCATCAGTTTTCTTCCCTATGTCTCCATTTCGTCAACGCTGAGTGTTTGACTTACCTGTGTCGTACTATTTCAGCTGGGTAGCCGTGTGCTTAGGCTTTTTTTTTTTTTTTTTTAAGTCCAGAAGATGGGATATATTGAGGGTTACTGCTATTGAATGTATTTGGACTTCTGATTAAAATCAAGGTTCAATTTTTAAGGGAAAAAATAATAAACTATATTAAGTCTTTGTTTTTGCCTGTCCCCTTTGAACCAAGAACCCTGTAAGAAGGAAAAAGAAAAAAGGGGAAGATAAAATTTTAAGAAATTCGTTTTTCCCCACAGTTGAGCTAATTCCATTTAGGTGCTCATGGGACTGTATGTTTTCAAGGGATGATACCTGAAAATGTCAATTTGATTTTATTCCGTGGGGTAGAAGGTAAGTGGAGGCTAGAATGAATTTACTCCCCATTGCTTTCCCCATCCCATTAGCTAAGGAAAATCTTTCTGAATTAGGGGCACACAATAGACTGTCTTTAGAGCCCTTGAGTCTCAACGACGCCCCAGCCATGGTCTAATAAAATAATCTGCTAATTGTTCTCACCACTTATCATTTAAAATCACTGAATATTTTAGAACAATGCTTATGGGCTAGAGAATTGTATTTGATTAGCCCGTTTGCTTTGATCACCAAATGCTGAATGATGCAGCCGGCTCCCAACTGTGCAAGTTCGAAATTAAGTCCAGCCATTTCTGCTTGCCCTGGGAGAAGGCAGGCCATCTCCACCAAGTTCTTTAAGTAGCCCTGGCCCATGAGAGGAAATCAACCTCACAGGACACACGAGATTTTTTTAAGAGCGGACTTAACTCCCTCTGCCCTTCTTCCCCCCTACCCTCAGAGAATGAGCAGTTCTAGCCAATAATTTATACACTGTGGGTTTTCCTGCCTGCCTCTTAAATACAAAGTCCCAGTTCAAATGTTTGTTTGAGGTAGTTTTTCTTATGTTTTTTTAAAGTAATATTTTCCCCCCTCTCTTTTCCTTTGGAGATAAAATGATTACAAACACTA